ACAGGCAAGGCTGCTTACCAGTGTAAATGAGATAAAGGAAAACCAGAAACTTATGCAAGAAGAGGTGGCTGACATTAACAAAATGTTGCATGTCGTTGAGACTAAAACAATCCTTCTTGAAACAAAACAGCAAGAATACGGTGTCGCCGGTCAAGCAGCTGATAGCTTACGGAGCGAAAACATCGCTCTGCGGGAGCGTCTTGATGATATGGAGGACCGGTCTCGTCGAAACAACGTTATCTTTTACGGTATTCCTGATCTTGCTTCAGAAGCGTGGAGTGACGCTGAACAAAAGATAACATGCCTGCTCTCCGAATGCTCCTTGCCTTCCATAAGCGGAACATTTGGTATAGTGCGCTCACATAGGCTAGGGGCATTTGCTGCGAACAAATGTCGCCCCATCATTCATCGTACAGTTTTCTTCTTTCAAAACAAGGGATCTTATCTTGCAAAATGCAACTAAAAATGGTAGGCGTGACTGTCAGTGAAGATTTTTCTTTTGCTACTCGCCTGGCTAGGAGAAAACTAATAGAATTTGGCAAATCCCAAGGAAGTACTTTCAAACTGCGTTTCAACAAGCTTTATCAAAATAACAACTGCTATACGTACAACCCCCAAGAAGACCGAATATGTGTGTCAACCTCGTTCCAACGCTCTGAAAGAAATGTTAGCGTGCTTCCACTAATTTCAGCCCCCCTTTCTCAACCGTCTGGCTCCGCCTAGCGGTCCGAGAGGGGCGGGGGACCAGTTAATGTGCCAGTTGTTTTTTCTAACATTCGAAGTCTGATTAAAAAACGCGATGACTTATGCTCAATGATTGACTCATGTGATCCTGGTATGGTTGTGCTCACTGAAACTTGGCTTTCCTCTCAAGCTAAGGATTCTGAAATATTTCATTGTAGTAAAAGTTTTGATGTTTACCGGAATGACCGCAAGGAACGTTCTGGAGGCGGAGTTTTGATAGCAGCTGTGCCTGAACTTAAATCTTTTTTGATAAACATAAAATCTGATCTTGAGATAATATGGGTAGGTCTTTCCGTTGGACACAAAAAGCTAGTATTAGGCTGTTGCTATCGTCCTCCAACAGGATCAAATACTTTTGTTGAGCAACTTCATGATGCAATTAACCTTGTCCGTGTTCGCTTTCCAAACTTACCCATTTTTCTTATAGGCGACTTTAATTATCCCGGCATCATCTGGTCTGATTTAACTTCTTCATCGAAAAACCCCTCAACTGAATGTAACCAGTTCTTAAATCTATGTTCTGACTTTAATCTTTCGCAAATTGTAAGATTTCCGACAAGGACAACAGACTCCTCGGCGAACGTGCTCGACCTGATACTCACTGATACACCTGATTTAATTTCTGATATTTTATACCTTCCTGGTCTCAGTGATCACTCGTTGCTTAATTTTTCTTTTATAACTCCCGTGTGCCGTAATACAACACAGATAAAACAAATTCGGGATTACAAGAGGGCCAACTACGCAGCGATTAATAAAGGTCTGTGCTGTTTTTTGGAGGACTTTTTGCCAGAGTTTTGCGAGCGTTCCGTTCAAACCAATTGGGACTTATATAAAAACAAACCCATTTCTTTATTTAATGAGCCCATTCCATTACGCTCAATTATAACAAACACACAGTCTCCATGGTTCACTCCTCAACTCCGAAGGCTCTCAAATAAAAAGAAACGTTTGTTCAGAAACGCAAAGCGCATTGACTCCGAGGAATACCGGCAACGTTATAATCTCGCAGCGAATGAATACAAAAAAGCAGTCGGGGAGGCTAAATATTACTTCTTTAATGAGTGCCTACCATCTATGCTAATTAATAATCCTAAACACTTTTGGAGTGTAATGAATTCCAGTGTTGAGCGTTCCCTTTCACTTAGAAATGAGTCCGGTGAAATGTTTCCCAATTCACTGTGTTCAACTGTTCTCAATGACATGTTTTCTAGTGTATTTAATAATGTTACTGATTCATATTGTCCATCATATCCTTCATATGACTTTTTTCCCATGAATTCAATTGTCATTGATGAGTATGGCATTTTAAAGATTATAGAGTCAACTAAACAGTCATCGTCATCTGGTGTTGACAATATTAACTCAAAGTTTCTAAAGAATACAAAAGAATATACATCAATCATTTTGTCTAAACTATTTGAGCAATCTCTTTCACTAGGTCAGCTTCCAGACGACCGGAAAACTGGAAGGGTGATTCCACTGCACAAGACTGGAGACAAACATTCCCCTTTTAACTTTAGACCCATATCACTCACAAGTATTTGTTGTAAAACGATGGAACATATAATTTATTCTAATCTGGTTAATTTTCTTGAATCTAATTCATTCTTCAACGTTAACCAACACGGTTTTAGGAAATTGTTTTCATGCGAGACACAACTTGTAAGACTAACAAATGATTTCCATCGCGTTCTAGGTCGTGGTTCACGAATTGACAGTGTTTTTCTTGACTTCTCCAGGGCGTTTGACAGGGCCTCTCATAACCTTCTTCTTCTTAAGCTTCACAAACTTAACATTGAACCGCATGTACTTTCGTGGATTCGCGCATTTCTAACTAATCGTTCACAGTTTGTAAGTTGTAATAATACCGACTCGTCCAAAGTTTCAGTAACGTCCGGAGTACCTCAGGGATCTGTGCTTGGCCCTCTTCTCTTTCTCATTTACATTAATGACTTACCATTGAATGTAACATCTTCTATTTGTTTATTTGCAGGTGATTGTGTTGTATACCGCGAAATTGTTAACAGTTCCGACATCTTACTTCTTCAAAATGATCTCGATTCCATCTCAAGTTGGTGTGACTCTTGGCACATGTCATTAAATGTCGACAAGTGTAAACACATGATAATTTCCAGGCGAGTTAACGATCCTCCTTCCTATATCCTTAATAATATGACTTTAGAGCGGGTTGACGCTTACAAATATCTGGGCGTTCACATCACATCTACCCTCTCATGGGAATCGCATGTTAACCACGTCATTTCCAATGCCAACCGCATGCTTGGCGATCTAAAACGTAATTTTTTCCAGACTCCTTCGACTTTGAAACTCTTTTTCTATAAAACACTAGTCCGGCCAAAACTTGAGTACACTTCTGCTGTTTGGGATCCTAACAATGAGAGCCTCGTCGGCGCCTTGGAGGCTGTCCAGAGTAGATCTGTGCGTTTCATTCTTTCTAATTACCATCGTACATCAAGCGTAACCTCTATGAAAAAATGCCTATCCTTGTCAGCTCTTTCTTTATGCCGAAAGTTTTATCGATTAAGTTTATTTCAGAAAATATTTTTTCACAACCCTATACTTAAGACTGAACTCCTACTGGAGCCATCCTACATATCATCACGCAGTGATAACATACATAAAGTCGAAATTCCACAGTGCCACACTAATACCTACTACAGATCATTCATACCTCGTACGTCTGCTGACTGGAATCACCTTTCCACATCCATCGCCACAATTGTTAATCCTGTTGATTTTAAAAAAGCTGTATCAATACTACTAGAAGTTGACTGTGATTTGAGTGTTCCATTAACTTGTACGTAATAATCCCACCCCCTCTGTAATGCCTTCGGGCCCTGAGGGTACCAATAAATGAAATGAAATGAAAACGTCAGAAACACTCCAGACCCGGGCTTGTAGATTTTTCAATAGGGTGGTGTCACATCAAACTGCGTGGTGTGTACAATAGGCTGCGTGGTGGGCACATGAGCCCTTCTAGTGTGACACCAGACTCTCGTGGTGTACCCATCGGTCTGGTGTGCGGGTAGACCAGCATTTCTGGTGGGCACATCAGTGATTCTAGTGTCTCACCAAAATTTTCTGATGTCACACCAGGATCGCCTGGTGTATTTTTCATTTGGGAGGCGACGCTACTGCCATTCTGATAAATTTCGTGTCGTCCAGCGAAAAGAGCCAGTGGACAGGCAATTCCTAGAAGAGCGGGAACCAGAATTCAGTGGTTGTGATTGGTGGCACCCTAATGAAAAATACACCAGGCAAATCTGGTGTGAAATCAAAAAATCCTGGTGAGACACCAGATCTGGTGTACCCACTAGCAATGCTGGTTATCGAGCACACTTCCTACAACAGGAAAGCTTCCGAAGCTTTACTATTGTGCTTTTTTTATAAAGTTATTATTACATCAGCGTTATTGTCAAACCTATCACTGTACTCTTTTTTTTAGTAAAGCAACACCCAGTCAACAGTTGCTCTGGTATCACACCACAACAAAACATGATGTCACAGCATAACACCAGATTGCTAGTGTAACACCAGAACACCAGATTGTTGGTGTCACCTGCACACCAGATTTCTGGAGTCACACCAGAACACCAGGTTGTTGGTGTGAAAATGTCCGAAATCACATCAGTGAAAAAGTCTGGTGTCACATAAAGTAACACCAGCCCTCGACCTGGTGTATTTTTCACTAGTGCAGGTTAAGAGTTCAGTAGATGCTCAGCCTCCATTGAAAGTTTTGTGCTTTTGGTAACATTTCGTCGCATGCGCAGCCAAAGCCCGGCTAAGGTTTCGAGCACATGCTATAAGCAGAAATACGACTGCATTATTTGACTGCCACCGGCTGTAGAAAGCAACACATGCTGGATTTTTGCGTCACCTACCGCGGGCCTGCGATGGCACATATTAGGCACGAGTGATGTGTGTTCGGCTGTGACTCGTTTTTTTATCTGTGAGAACACTAGTCTGATCAAACACTGATGCAGCGTCTAATGTTGAGTCGGTGCCCTACGCCCGTTCCGCAGTATTGTACGTGCAAAAACCAGCAAAGGGGCCTTGTTACTGAGACGGTGTTAGCTGGTCCAACACAGTCTATGTACGTGGTTGTACGAAGTAAGAAGCGGAAAAGTTCACAGAACAAACGAAATATATCTTTGTCAGGAGCTCTGCTTTCAAACAAACTGGTTTTGTCTCAACTATTTAATATGTATGCTCTCTTTGCCAGAAAACAATTACTAGTTGAAGCACTCAGAGAATTTGTAGTACCAAATGAAATGTTTGTTGTTGCATGCGCCAAGATATTTTGAGCAGAAAGAAGAAGGTAGTTCATTCTTTTTCGGACGCTTACTTTCCCAAAGCTCGCAGTCACCTGCAATTGAAAAGGGTAACGGTCATCAAAAGTATATTAAAGGGGATCAAATTACATTCCGTAATTTAGTATAATTGTCAAATTTGTTTTATGGTAGTATGGACAATGAAAAGAATACGAGGAAGAAGAAAAAAAGGAGAGTCAAGGGTGCCGACGAATTAAGATGACTGAGGAAAGGATCCAAATTTGGTCATGGCTAACTGTTTAGTTTACTTTAAATTCTTTTTTCCGTTATCTGGCCAAGAGCGAACGATGCGGAACCCTCGGGTGAATCAAACCGATGGAGGCGAAGCACGTGACAGCCCTTGCCAATGTAAAGGGGCGGACACTAGTGCGAAAAAAAATAGTATTTTAATAAATCAAAGAATTGAGATCCATTTAAGCCAGATATAGTTCACTTTGATCAGGTGATTTTGAAATAAATACTCTGGCTATAAAATAGCTATTCTTGTTGATTCGCTCCTCTTCTCATCAAGAACGTTCGTAAAAATATTTAAAAAAAACATTTGCTTTTTGCGGAGTTTAAAGCACTTTTAATGTTAATAATTAATGTATTGCATTTTAAATTAGATATCTAATGTCCTAAATTAACATTCGAACAATTATAACCGAAGGAGGCTTACCTGCGTCAGAGCAAAACACATTTATTTTTATTTGTAACTTCGGACTGATCTATGTCTTTACTTCGATAGTTCCTCAAATTCAATATACAATCTATTTCTTTTTTTGCTGGCAAAAGTAGTGTTTGACCGTGTAAAATTAATTTTAGAGATTTGTGGCAACACATCACAGAAAATACTCATATAAAAAGAACGCATGTGTGACTTCATTTTCTTGCAAAATAGGGGGAAACGAATAATGGCAAACTGTTTAGTTACTCTAAGAAATTACTGACCTCAAAATGCGATTAAAAAAAAAAACGCCGGATGTGCAGTTTGACAATGAGATTGGCGTTTCAACTGCCCACTGTCCCTGCTCCCATTTAGCTTCCTCCCTGCGTGCTGAAGATGCCCAACCTGCTGCGCACATCTTTCGCTTTCCGTCGTGCTTTAAATACACGCACACCAAACTGTTATGAAAAGCAGAATGCTCACGCTGAGTAAGAATTCTCTGTACTTCGTTTCAGCTGAAGTCCAGACACAGCCGCGAGCATGAGGCCCTGAACAGTGCTTGTACTGCACGAGCGCGCGTGTTTGCAGGATCGCATCTGCTTCTCTCACACTTACCGCTCATTCACACTGGAAGCGGATCCGCGTTCGCAAAGCGGTTGCGAGGGTGGTTGTACAATGATCCAGTACAATCGCACGCGCGCTTGATGTCACCGAGTGCGCGTGCAATTGCGCTGGATCTTTATACAACCGCCTTCCCAACCGCTTTGTCAACGCGGATCCACTTCCATTGTGAATGAGCGGTTACTCCGCATTCACACTGGCCGCTGAACCGCATTCGCAAAACGGTTATGAACGCGGTTGTTTAAAGAAGCAGTACAAATTCACGCTCATTTGATAAGGAAAACGACGGGATCCGCTTGGCGGTTTTCTTTATGATCGAGAAAAGAGAATAGCTCTCGTTTGCATTTAGGCGCGGAGGGATGTTTTTATATGAAAAGAACCCATTTCATGCGCTTGATTATATTACTTTGTTTGTTTATGCCGTGTTGGACTCCTGCATGACACCCTTGATGTTAGACACCAAAGTTTGCAAAAGGGTGCTTACCTGATTGTTTATGGTAAAAAAGAGCGCATGAGCTGCGGTCAGACAACAAGAGATACATTCTTCCGGAATATATTTCTGAAAAAAAAGAACGCGGACAGGCTTGGCACGTGAAAAGAACATGCAAACAGACTAAAACAAATTACCGCAGAAATAACCTACGTGTATTTCCTTGGTGTCTGTAGGCATCCATGCAGTTGGGAACACGATATCCCTCCGATTGATTTGGCTTCATATCATACGTCGTTATTAACCTGTAACGGTTGTTAAATAGAAACTGAAGTGGTGTTGTATTTCAGGAAAACTTTTAAATCTTCTTCATTTGGTGTCCAATATCACATCTATCACGGTTATTATGTTTTTTGTTTTTATTTAGTGCACGGAGGCTGCAGAACATCATTTTCTATTCGATAACTGACATTTAATTTGGCTCAGGAGAGCCGCGGCGCCGCAGAAAGGCAAGTAGCCCAGAATGTAAAGGCCGCGGAGCAGCGTCCAACGATGATCAGATAATATTGATAGGCGCATCTTGAGCACCTGCCAAAGTTATGCACGCGCATATACTTGCAATTTTCGAAAAGGTCCTAAAAACACGACACTACTGCTTCAGTGCGGGGGAATATACTTGGCAAGCTTCCAACTGCACGCACTCCCCACACGAGCGACATGTGCTTTGCGGCCGAAAGACCTGGGTATGACATAATGACTGGTCAGAGCTTTCTTTTGCGTCCTTTCCCGTATAGCTACACCTTCCAGGAAAGCGAACGTAGTATTCCAATTCATGAGATAAAAAGTGAAAGCCGTTTACAACTCCCTGTAACACCGAACTAGAGCGCAGCTCTTGAGGAGGAGGAGGGAAGGGTACTGGGGGGTGAAGTGTCCTGGGGGGGGGTCACGTGACCTCGGGGGTTCACGTGACCTTGGGGGGTCACGTGACGATGCCGATGATGTCATCAGTGACGATGACGATGCGGACTCCGATGACGTCATCAGCGATGATGACGATGACGATGCGGATGTCGGTGACGTCATCAGTGACGTAACTGATGACGTCATCCGTGATTTTGACGATGACGATGCGGATGCCGGTGACGTCATCAGTGACGTCACTGATGACGTCATCAGTGATGGTCACGATGACGATGCGGATGCCGGTGAGGTCATCAGTGACATCACTGATGACGTCGTCAGTGATGACGATGACGATGCGGATGCCGGTGACGCCATCAGTGACGATGACGTCATTGGGGAGGTCATGTGACCTCGGCGGGGGGTCACGTGACCCTGGGGGGTGGTCACGTGACCTCGGGGGGTGTCACGTGACTTCGAGGAGTCACGTGACCTCGGGGGGTCACGTGACCTTGGGGTGAGCTTGGGGTGACCTTGGGGGCCGCGTGACCTTGGGGTGACCTTGATTACGCCGACACCGACGGCGACGCCGGCACCGACGCCGCTCAAGCCGGGAACGGACCCCTAAGAGCTGCGCTCTTAAATACTCTATACTCTTTCGTCATGCTACATTGTCAAGGCTAGCCTAGCCTCACTAGTGCTGCGGCAGTGTCAAAGCTCTTCTCGCCGTGAACCATTTTATGTTACGTCACCAGGGGTAGCGTAGCTTCCACAGTTCTCCAACACTGTCAAAATTAGACTTCGTTTCAGCTGAAGTCCAGACGCAGCCAAAGCAAAGATGCAATGAAGCCTCAGCCCACCAAGTGGCGTCAAAAAGCACAAGTCACTACACCGTAAAGGAACATGACGAGCACTATTATGGTGCGCTTTTTCGCTCTCTGAATGATACCCTGAGCTCGTAGCGTTGACTCCTTCTGGAGTATACTTGCGCGATCTCGCGCGAAGGAGACTAAAAATGAAGCTAATTACATCTACAGAAGCGCGGTGCTGCTCCGCTGTGGACATTATGCAGGCCTTCGAAATGTAGCACGAATCAGTTTACGCCGAGTATAGAGCCCAGCTCTAACTTGTTTTTCTGAGGAACCTCTTTACCTTCCCTTTAAATGGGTACGGAATCAAAATGACGTGAACGCGAGCTCTCTACTCTTCGCTTCAAAGTCAGTCAGCGAGAAGCGCAATGCGTATTGCGCTCGTGACGTCAATAGTTCCTGCAGGGCTAAGGTACTTGCAAACGTTGCCGCCCGGTGTCGTCAAAGCGTTTCAATCTCGCCTAGAAGTAATAACCGAGGACAGTACGCCCTATGGCTTATACATAACCGCCCGTAACGTCATTCGCAGCCATGCCGGTATTTCATGTTCCACGAGCATTCGGCTTACCGTGTTACTTTCACACCGTAAATGTGGCGGCGTGAGGGAACCAATAAGTACAAATAACCGTCAGTGCCAAGCAATGGCGACCCACCTCCAACCTACACTTACAAAAAAGCCTGTGCGTCTACTTTCAAGCACAACACTCGGAGAGCGAATTACCGCAACTAACGGAGGCATCTCGTTGAATGACGATGCCGAAGCATATGTTTAGGCCAAAAACCGCAGTCACAGTGCTGACATTAAATAATGCAACCGTGACATTTTTCATTGCTTAATGTCACAACTCGGACTGCGTTTTTTGGTCTAAACATATGTTTCGGCGTCCTCATTCCCTGAGATGCCTCCGTAGGTTGCGGTGATTGGCTCTCCGAGTGCCGTGCGGGAAAGTAGACGCACAGTTTTTGTTTTAGAGTGTGTGTATAAAACATATTCACTGGGTGCCATATTTGAGCGCGCTATGCACAACGCATAGGGGGGGAAGAGGGTAGGGGGCTTGAAAGAGCTCCCCGCATCTTCAGATTACGCTCCTAACGCCTGTAAAGAGCGGCAATCTTGAAGGTGTGCAATGCAAGTTGCGGAAGCAGTGTGGAAGGAAGCTTGAACGTATATAACGTAGTAAATAAATCTTTTTTAACCAGAATCAAACCTAAAATTTTTAAATCGCTATTCTACCCTGTCTTGTGCTACGCGTAAAATAAGGGAATCCACTGGCTCAACTAATTTAAAGTTACTCCGTGTGCTGCATAGAAACCTCTTCATGTCATAGCTAATGTTCCTTCAGCCTCCTCATCATTGCCTTTCTTTGACAACTTTTTTTAAAGCCGATGTGTGAAAACTTGAGTTAACGATTACTATTAACATACCAATTGGCAATAAAAGGTAAACCTGAAGCGTTTATGAACCTCGCTGACCTTCATTTCCACATTTTAACTCATGAAGTCCGTCAAATACATCCGTGGCAAATACCAAAATTGCGTACTAACTTTGGTCATAAAATAATTAGACATGCACTTCCTGCTTGCTAAATTATATCGCATCACCAGAAATTGACACTATGTCACTACATAAAAATAGCATCAATAACATTGTATAAAAAGTCACATTGTTTATTTGTTTGTTCGTCTCTTTTGGTTGTTTCATTTTGTTTGTCTACCATATAGAAATGCCGAGGGCTCGTCAAGTTCTACAGAAAAAACGTTTTCCCCTCGGTATTCTCTATAATCATGTGTGATAAAAAATAAAGATTCTATGGAATTGAAAAAAAAACAAAAAACTTCAGAGTTCTTAGCCTAGTCACATTTAGTACTAAGCAACTACAGGAGCCAGCCATACTGCCCTGACCTTGCACTGCTTCCAAGGAGCTCATAGCGTGCGGCATTCCAACGGAACTTTACAGACCGCCCCAAGAGGCTTTTTTGAAATCTCTAAATTTTTCCGAATTTAGTTTTCTTGGCTTTTCTGCCGGTAGCCCCAAAACACTACTCTAGGTTGGTGTTTCTGGACAGACGGCACAACAAAAACTACACATAAATAAAGAAATGAGTGCATACATTTCATATCCGTACCTTTTTAAGCAAGCCCTAATGGCATAAAGGTTTTTCCGGGAACGCCTTATGAAGGTCTGATATAATTGCAGTAGCCTAAGATGAGATGTGGGCTCACCGCGCCCGCTGCTGAGGCGGCTCATGTCTGAATTGAGAGATGGCGCTCCGGACGACTTCTCTTGAAGCTTCTCCACGCACTTCTGTGATCGCGTGCATGTCAGTGCGTGTGTGCGTCGTTGTTTCCTTCGCCAGATGTGGGAAGATTCGAAAGAATCGAAGAAACTGTGTCGGTCGAGAGAACAAAAGGCTAGACGGCACGCTGCTCAATCGCAAGCTCGACCACAAGCTGGGACAGTTCAGATCCCGAATCCGCAAAGATTGCCGCTCGGCCAACAACGGCTCGAACCCCTAGAACCCCACCACGGGAATGCTGGACTCCCAGCATCGCCGGAAATTCGGCCGGCTCGTCTGACACCCGGACATGCAGGGAGCCCTCAAGAGGTGCTCGAAACCGGCCTGCTAGAAGTCAACAGCTCATGGCGGCCCGACAAAGGTCAACGTCGCGAAGACCGCTAGAAGCCAAACGCTCTTCACCCTCTTCAATTCCGAGATCCACCCCTCACCGTTGTCCAGGCAGGTTCCATTTAAACCAGCATCACCTTTTTTGAAAAAAATTAGTCAGTGCAATACTTCTCCTCACCGTTTCACGCGGCGCTGCTGGCCTTCACGGTAAAGACAACATACCTTTTTTCGGTGCCGCGTGAGGCACCGAAAAAATCTATAGATCCTTTTTGTAAAGCCGCTTACATCTTCGGAATTGCAGCGCCGATGATGCCGTCTAGCGGCTTACAATTTCAAATACCGGCTGGGTTTGGCATCACATCTATCTGGGTAGGCAACCGTGTGGTTATGGTATAGGCTTGGCTAGACGTGGCTATGGTGGGCTACAATACCCTGGCTGGAACTTGGCCGGTTAAATTGAGCTGGCTAATGACAGGCCATCATCTTGATTCTTCGAAAGAATGAAAACAAAGACGGTGGGGAGTTTTGATTGAGTTTCTCCAACGAAGCTGTATATGAGGAGTTTCATGTAGTATATGCAGGTGAGCTCTTGGCATTTGACAGCTGCATTTTGAGTGGTGACATGTAGACGTGAAAATGAAGCAATAGTATACCTTGCAGTGATAACCTAATCAGACACCTGCACCGGATTCGAATCGGTCCGTTTGCCGTAGACGAAAATGACGTGAGCATAAACATGACGATGAGTCTGATACAAAGGCCACTCGAAATAGTATCGCGATAGACTGACTTTATAAATAAAAATCTTTGTGGAACATGTGTAGCGCAATAACATTGCAGCACCACTCTCGCTTCAGCTTCTTGTGCAGCACTTTTCGCGATTATTCTTAATAATATTTTCATAATTT